CTGAAGATAAGAGGCAGGTGACTAAACTATAGAAAGCTATATTTTCTCACAATTACAAGGAGATGTTTGGATGAGCTGAAGAACATAAGTAACTGAAGCAAAAAGGGCAGAGAATGCAATTTCTTATGTTATTCTTCATAATTTACCTGAATCACATAACAAAACTTTTTCTACCCCTATACGGAAAAAATGTTTGAATATTTAAATTATTTACAAATTTATCTAAAGTACTTAAATCTTGTTAAATTAAACACACTTACACATGTACACACTGTCAAAACACACGTGCTTAAACTGTGTATCAAGTGATACCAAAAAGACATATACAGTTAAATCAGATTTGAAATACTGAACTTGATAAGGGCCCCTGCCTTTCTGAAGTTAGTGATAGAATTACCTGCTTGTCTGGAATATTGAATATTGTTCAATTGCAACATTAAAATTAGTTGGCTGTTAATGGGGCTTTACTCCCCAAAATAAAGGATAAGGTAAAACAATTTATTCTGGGAGGATAAATTAGAAATATTTATTGATAGCAAATTCTTCCAGCAGTTCTATTGAAAATGACTCATAGACACATTTTAATGTCAAAAGTGGTATCATAAATTATCTTGCCTGACAAATTTCTTAACACAGATCACAGATTTTCATCCACATGCTGGTGTCACTGTCCCATTAGCATTAGTCTGAATAAACTTGTGATTAAAAATAAAAGAGTGGTTAAATGCTATCAACTTCTTGCTGGTTCAAATGGTGTGCTACTGGTTCAAATGGTTTAAATGGTTTCAACTTCTTTCACTGACTAATCAGCACAGCTTTTACAGTTCTTACCTGCTTTGCCATTTTAACTTGCCTGACTTTGATTTCCACTCACTTTCTTTTTACCTGATTATTTTTAGGGTTAAAGAGTTCTTCAGTGCCTTGTTTTCTCCCTGCTTCTACCACTTAATAAACAGATCTATTGTATTTTTAATAAATTATTTCATATGCTTACCAATTTATGCATTTACCCCCCCAGGTCTTAAGTTATTTGCATCTCCATAAATGCTCCTTTTATATCAAACATAGCCACTGCTGTTTGCCATTATTTCACAATTAATAATTTAAACCAATTAAATTAAAATGTGATTTTTGTACTCAGCCAACTTTTTTTAGGTCTCATGAGAATAATTATTATTTCATCCCCAAAATCTTGACAATTAAGAGTTTCATATTTATGTGATATGTATTTTTATCTGGTAGTTTGTAAACTTTAAACAGACTCTTTTTTATTTTATGTTATTGTTATGGTAATGTATGAAAGTGGTTATGAGATTTTGGGGTTTTTTCTATTTTTCTACTGTATAGAATTGTAAATACTAAATTAGGGGATCAATGGCATTCTGCTAAATTTCTTTCAACAAAGCTGTTTTTCACACAGTGAAAAGACTGCTTTTTAAAGTGTATTTTTAAGCTTCAAATTTTAAGGGCCATCCTGGTCATTTAGAAGGTCCTAATCAAATTAGAATAGAGACTTAAACCTTGCTTCTACCTCCTTTTCTTTGTAATCTGATCCAGAAAATAAAAGAAAAAAGTATACAGTTACAACAAAATGGTGATTAATTTGATGAGCATTATAAATACGAATCCGCTAGCTATAAATCACATAATAATCTCTGACATCTCCGAATAAGGTGCAGAACATCCTGCCTTTTAGCTGCTTGACACTAAGGAAACTGTGACAATTTAAAATGGCATCCCAGTCTTCTTTATTGTTTGTGAAAGAAATCAGAGCCTTTGGAATGGATACTAGAGGAAAAAGAACACTAAACACATGCAAGTAAATATAAAGAAAATATGGTGGCAGCCAAGTTTTGGGTTTTACTTAACATTTTTGGACCATATACTCTTCCTGAAAATTAAATCAGTTAAATACTTTGTAGTAGACAAAGTATTGTGTAGACATTAATATTTGATTACTGTTTGAATATTTCTACTGTTACCAGAAGAGGAATTATTCTCTCATCCTGAAACACTAAAATATGCATTCAGTAGGATCTGGGAGCTCATATTCTCCACTGTAGTGCTTCTGTCATGAAGAGACTTAAAGAAGTCTGAGGAAAATCACAATTCTATTTAAAACAACAAACTTAGGGTAGTAAGTCTCTCTAATCCAGACTGTCCTTGAGAAGTTCATCAGAATTTTAGTCACAATTAAGGAGTGGAAAATGGAGAAAAAACACTTAAAGACATATTAAGTAAAGTCCTGTCCTTGTGGCATGAGGGAAAGCTATTGAAATTGCCAGTATATCCCAGAGAAAATACCAGCTACCTTGGGTGACACTGAATCCTAATGAATATAGTCTGAATATGGATTTTTTTTTTTTAAATACCTCATTCAAAAGCAAGCAAGCAAGCCATGCAATACAGATACACTTTGCTTGGTAAATGATGTGGTAGCACTTAATTCTAAAGCACTACTTCTCACTCATACAGAGGTTAGCACAGCCTATTTGCAAGTCCTACTTGAAGTGAATATTAGCCAGAAAATCTGTGTCATTTTCCAAGTCTGATAGATTTATAACGAAAGTAGCATTTGAGGTACTGTAAAAGGGAAGAAGTTTGAAGGTGATCACAAAACACAGAGTAACCTTTTTTTTTTTTTTTTTAATGTGGTCTCTGATTCAGTAATATCCATGGGGCTTGTTCAAATGGGTCTAAAAACCACTCATTGCTTAAATGGAGACTTTTAAGATGCTGGCATAAAAGCTGAACAAAACCTTGAGTTTCTACAGATGTTCAATGTAGTAGTGTAATGGGAAGCTGTTTTTCTTGGTTTTATTTGCTTTTATATTTAGTGAAACCATAGTTAAGTTCTATAGCAACTGCCATAGAAAACTAGAATATGGTGAAGATTAATGCTCCAATGTCAGAAGCTGCAATTCCGTTGCAATGATTTTCCCACTTCCATTTTTTATTATTTACAGGTTTTTGTCAGTTACAGAACCTGCTTGAAACATTTCAGCATTTGATAAGCCTGACCAGTTATTTACAGAAAATACACAAATAACTGACTATGAATAAAGTGATAAAGAAACACATAAATTACATTCTTATATTACTTATGCTGGAATTGCCTCTCTGTTAATATACACTGAGGCTGGAAAATCTAGACCTCTTCCCAGACAGTTTGGATAGCTGGATGATAAAAAAAATCCAGCATATTTGCACTCTTTTCTGTGCTTCCACACAGCAGTGCCAGAAAGGCACTGTTTTAGGTTTTACTGCTTTGTGGATTGTCTCCTTGGCTGTAATAACTTCTGCTACATGGCTGAGAAATGAAAATAAACCAAAAAACCAATGTATTGATATACAAGACTAGGAGACACAGAACAAAGAGGGGAACAGAAAAACAGCAAAAATTTAAAGTAAATTAAGAAGACCATTAAAAAAGGCAAATGGCTAAAAGAAAAGAAGAAAGACCTTTAAATTACAGAAAATTATATGGCACACATTCCATAAATTTCTATTCAAAGAGTATTAATCTTTGGATAAATCATAAGGAGGCGTCATCCTGTCTCCAAAGCACTTAGTTCTCTGATAAAGAAGAGCTACCTTGATGCTTATTGCATTAAGTCCAAGGCCTGAAGGAATCAGAGGTTACCAAAGGGAAAGAGGAAAAAAGTGCATGTAAGAAGTGGCATTTTTCAACTCTTTCAACACCTGACGTGTTCTTAGAGCTTTGCTCACTTACACTCTCAGTGCAATTCCTTCCCCGAATGAACAACTTGTCCCGTTACTCCTCTCCCTACACGAGCAGTGCTAAGGAGCCAATATTTGCAGACACTTGGTAATTGAAGGACATCCCACAGGGATGGGATGTTTTATGTTTGGGAGATTCTACTCCTTGATGAAGACTCCAGACCTCACAGTGAACACAGCACTTGTCTGTTCAGATCGCTAGCAAAGAGGATTTTTTTCAGACTATAAACTTGGTGGGGTTTCTTTGGGGTTTTTTTGGGGTTTTTTTGTTTTTTTGTTTGTTTGTTTGTTTGTTTTTGGTTTTTTCATGTAGTTTTTTTTTTAAGTCTCAAGTGTAAAAATTTTCCAAATTTTATTGAGCCATTGCAACCTTAATCTGTCTCCCTAAGGAAAATATAGTGCACCTATGTGACCTACAAACCTAAGAAATGTACCATTTATGTCAGTAAAAGGCCTTCCAGTGGAAAACACTTTTAAAAAGTATGGTATTTTTATTTTTCTTGTTGATTCTAATCTGCCTCTGCCCAGATAAAATGATAGAAATGTTAAAATTACCTTTTATGTAATTTGGACCAAAAAAACCCCAAGACCAACATAAATCAGAAAGCACTTCACATTAATAGAGAAAGGCATCTCTTTTCCTTCTCATCTGTTTTTCACTGTTTTTAAAATAGAGAAAAGAGCAGATAAAATAATTCTGATTGAATTCACAATTTAAAAATTTGAAACAATGTACAATAATGGTCTTATTTCACTTGCTACTCATAATTTTAGCTTTCTAAACATGTATCACTATCTCTTCTCATTTATTACACTTCAGACAGACTGAAGAAAATGGAAAAAATAAGACAAAAGTTTTCAGAAGGGTATTGCATATTTTAAAGGCTCTGCTCTCAGTCCTAGTGAAATCATACATTGCAGCTGCTACTAGTTCCATGAACATATTTGATAACAACCAAAGTGATCACTGCTTCTTTAGGTCCTCAGAAAAGTTAGTATTACACTAGTTAAACGTGACATTAAAGTGAAGCTGTAAACTCCATACAGCATTATGGAGAAATAAGGTCATTTCCTGGTCAAAATCAGTTTATTTCCAACTTTTCCATGCCTTCTACTTCAATTTTGTACCTACTGACACCAGAACTTCTGATATTTGACTTTAAAGGGAAAAAAAAAAAACAGATCTCTTTCTGCAAGGTAGTTAGTATTATGCTCTTGTCTGTCAAAGTGGCAATTTGTTTTATACTTTCTTATCATACCTTGAGAATTTTGCACATTATCTCATAAACTGAAAATGTTTTCTCAGCTCGTGTCCAATCCCAGGTTGTGACCTTTAAAAAACAAACAAAACACAAAATAAACATAAAAAGAAATTAAGTTATTTTTGTCAGTTTTTAAGAATTAGGTTTACTAATAAGAAAAGAAAAAATCCCTAAATTATTTACATTGATTAAAATATATTCAGAAAGACCAAGCACTGCCTCAAAGCAACAACTAGCAGGGACCAGACTCTTCCATCTAGGAGATGTCCTCCCTGTCCTTACAATGCAGATCCTCTGCATGCAGCCTGCTCTATGCAAAATGAAGATACTTCCCCTGGGAACTTGCAGGGTTTGCAGTGAGATCCTGAGAGGATGCAGCCCTTGAATTTCCATCTCACAGAGCCAGGGCCCTGCCCGTTAGAAAACATGCTTCTCACCACTTTCCTCCTTGTAACCGCGTGCCACTATTTGCTCCCAATCACCCACAGCGTTTGCAGATCCATAAAACCAGCCTCCAACCTTGCAATGTCCCACACACTTACCCCACATCCCTTGAGATCCAGAGGGAAAAAAACCAAGCATGAAACAACACAGGCAGATATTAATTTTTCTATTTTTCTTACCAAGATCAATCTACTCCTAAATTCTAACAAACTAAGATTTGAAGAATAGTCTTTTTTTTCTCCCTCTTTGTTTTGGGATTTCACAACTGTTTTTAACTGTGTTCATTTTAAGCAACAGTTTTACACAGAAAAAGGCTTATATAAAAGAATTAAATTAAATCATGGAAGGGTCAGTGTTAAGACTTAAATGAGACAGAAAGGGATAGATAAATATCTTCAGTAAGGGAAGAGTTAAGGCAATATCAGAACAGTGTATAAAGTTTCCAAGGAAGATGCAAGCAGAAAACAGGAAAATATTAAAAATCTCAAAATAAAGAAGAAAGCACAAAATAGAATCAAATTGAGGTTATAAATGAAAGAATAATCAACTTAATGGTAAGACACTTTGGACATTGGCCCATATCCAAAGGAAGACAGCTGTATCATTAAATTTGTTAGACACAATGAAGAGGTTGATGAAAACATACATTACTGCTTCTACCAGATTCAGGATAAAGTTTTTGAAAGTTTAAAAAAAAAATTAATAGTTTCTAGAGCCCAAGGAACAAAATATTATATGAGATTAATTTATCTCTTACTTAAAGAGAAAGTAATCATTAATAGATCAAAATTATTTTGATGCTGTATGAGAAAATTCTATATCTAACTAATTTTTAGTTATAAACATTGCTGTAATGGAAGGTCCTTTAAGGAAATCACAGGCAGGAATGAAACTTCAAAAACACAGTGTTATAGTTGCTCTTCTATTAGAATTTTCTTTATTTACAGTCATTGTCAAATGTAGTCTTCCCTATCTTATTGAACTGTGGGTATTAAACCACAAGGCTACTATTTTTCCTATGGACAAAAAGATAAATTTCTCACCATGAACAGAAAAATGGGGAGAGGAGCCTTGCTACAGTCCCACTGAGCCCACAACACCCAGTCATACCAGATGAAGTCCTATTGTTCCATGAGGAAAAGTCATTATTATTGCTCCTGAAGCACAAAGTCATTTGGAGTCATGTTTCAAAATTTACAATAGGCTCCATATTTTGGGAGGGAATATAAGAGCTCCCTCTTCTCCCCTGGTTTCCTGATTTTGTTTGTAACTGTAAAGGGACTTCTTTTCAGATCAAAAAAAAACTCTTTCTGTACAAAGATATGTGCAAAAACAAAAGCAATTGTAGAATTAAGACACCCATAGAAATTGCTGCAACATTCACTTTTAATGTTTTAATTTAAAATATTGAGTAGCAAAAGAAAGGATTTTAGTGGCTCTTTCTCAAGTAAATTTCCAATTACAAATTGGAAGAAATTGAAAACCACCAGAGTTGACACAATAATTCTAAAGAAGGAAATGTGCCAGGAAATAATAGAAAAAATAATAGTAAAGAAGTAATTTTCTTTAAAATTTTCAAAATGAAAATAAGAAACACTAGGATTGCTCTTTTATCTGAGCATGGGAAGTAGAAGTACTATTGATCAAACAAACAAAAAAAGAGGCAGGGGAGGCTGTTGATAGACATTATTTAAACACATGCTTCCCTAATGTGTTAGATTTTGGCAAAGACTGGGGAAAAAGTTTTGTTTGCTTTTCTGGTTAAGAAAGTTTACAGGACATCTCTTTTCAGAAAACAACTTTGTCCAAGCAGTTTATACTGCACATATCACTAAAGCAGTTTTAGTTTTAACTACATTTTATATATCTCCTAAAAAGAAGTTCTGAAACTGTCATTAAATTTTGTTCATAATATTTTCTAATCCCTGGAAGAGACAAACTTTCAGAATAGCAAACTTAACTGTATATTTAAAAGTTTGCATATAGAAAATAGGATTTTGGAAGTTTGCAATTATTGTATACATTACATGTTGGAACTGGTTGAACTTTAAGGTCCTTTCTAATATAAACATTCTATGATTCTATGTCTTTAAGGCAGCTCTGTAGGAGCTCTTCCTCTGTCCTAAAAAAAAGTATGCTTATCATTCTGCTTCCCTCCTACTCCATGAAGAGAAAATATTTTTCTCTGCATTTGAACAGTTTTTCTATTTTAGACAAGGAATCAGAATCTGGCAGTACAAATTCATTTTGTGCTTGCAGCTGAGCTGAAACAAGAGCTATAAAAACTTGAGGATGGATTTCTTGTCTTATACAATAGCAGCTTGCCAAGATTTTCCTTACTCATGTCACCATGGTTCAGGTTCTTCATATGAACATGTTTCTTTCACACCCATTAATCACCCCTCATCGGACATTTACCCCCTACAAGTATATCACCCCTATAAATTTATGATTCTTTAGTAAAGAGGTTTGTGGTCTCTTCCACAGTTCTTAGAAAAGAATAATCTTCCTCTTTTATATTGAACAAGATTTCTCATCATTGTTTCTGATTCGATCTAGTACCCAGAATGGAGTTGGTTTTACTTGACAAGCAGCTAAAGTAGTTCTGGCAAAGACAGGAGAGATGTTTTTGAATTAAGGTGCTTGTTATCATAATCTGACATTTTAATTGGACCCTGAGAAATTAATTAATAGACCTGAGAGAGCCAAAATCCCACACCCATGAACCAGACTAAAAACATTGAACATATGATGTTTTCAGTTCATGCTTACTTCCATTCTCCATGTCTTTCACATGCTTTTAAACCTTTTGCTAAACGAACACCAATAGCTACTGATGATCAATCTAAAGATTTGCAAGATGACTTTGAACTACCTCAGGAAGATATTGTCCCAAGAGGTGGTAGATGCCCCATCTCTGAAAGCATTCAAGACCAGGTTAGACAGGCTCTGAGCAACCTGCCCCAGTTGAAGGTGTCCCTGCTTGCTGTAAGGAGGTTGGACTAGATGACCTTTAAAGCTCCAATTCAACCCAAACTATTTTATGATTCTGTTTCAGGCAGGAAGGAGCTACAGCCCGACAAACACAGGGTTTAGCAGCAGTCAGAAAGGTCACCCAATAAACAGGAAAAATTAATCCACATGACTCTTCCTGCTGCAGGCATGGATGGGACTGCTACTGTCTCCTTAGCAACTGGCTTAAAAGTTAGCTAGAGGATCTTTACTGCATCTTAGATGTACCATAAGACAGTGAAAGTAAATTGCTGAGTATAAGATGAGCACTAAAATTTTGCCTGGTGTTCCCAGTGAGATTCCAATTAATATTTTAACTTAAGCCAATTTCATTTGATTCCCTACCTTCCTTTTGGTGCTCTCAAGCAGCAAAAACTTACATTCAGGATGGAATCTAAATAGAGACATATTGCCATCTCTACAGCATGTAAAAAGCTTTGCTATTTCCCCAAATCTCAGCAGTTTCTTTAGAATGATTGTTTAGTTTAAATCTAACCATGTTGCTTTGGGCCTGTTCTGTCTGCCAAAAGAAAATTAAAAGCTCCCTTTTAACATGAGCAGATTTCTCTTTTATTTTTTTAAGTGTTCATTTAAGTGTGGGAAAATAAGTTCTTGCTAGATATCCAATCATCTGATGAAGAGCTGTTTTCCATCACTTTTCTACCACACACCCTGGAACTCTGCTGTTAGTTACAGTCCTGCTAGCCCAATGAGTGGTATCTCATTGTGAAAGACATGTACATATTATATGTATTATATATATATTATTTTATTTTATAATATTTATTCCCACTAAGCATAAGAAACATACTTACTGGAGGTGCTATAAATTTATACAGGGAAGATCCCCTCAGCGCTAGAAACTTTGGTGTGTACATTCGGTCCTGAAGGGAGTCTTGTTCCCGTTCTTCCGTCCAGCCCATGTAGACTATCTGACAAAAAAATCAATAGTGTTGACAATTTCTCAGAAATTTTCTTTTGTTGCAAGTATTTCACGTGCATAAACTGATGTCTGTTAAATTTAACATAGCTGCAAACCTTGAACCCCAGACACAATATCATACATTGACAGTTTTTATAAATGATGCCTGTTAGGACAATGCAAAAGCATGAGAAGAAATATTTATTGTACTAGCAACAACATGAAACCTAAATCACATACTCTAGGGGTGTTAAAGGTGTATTCTACATATTTGCTACAGATCATGTCAGTGAAATTTAATGTAAGTGAAGTGTAAGGAGCCACCAGTCAGGAATTCTAAGTCAAGCAGCTGCTATTATACAGCAACATATATACAGCCTCCACATGCAAGTTCACAGTCATACATTAAACAACACAATGTTACAAATTTCCAAATAATGTCAATTTTTTTTCTTTTTTTTCCATCGTTTCCAAATAATGTCAATTTTTTTTTCTTTTTTTTTTTACTCCCTGAAAATCTCTGTGTAGGAGTTTTGAACCTTTTTGCTTAGAAAGAGGAGATTAGCAGACTATTTTCAGTCACTATTTTGAACAGACTTCATCCGTAGCTACAACAGAGTTGTAGAATCCTGTAGAGTCTTACCACTACCAGCAGATCTTCTGACACAGATGTTTGAGCTAGAACTTATTCCAGCTCAAACATCAGCTGTAATTTCCTATCTATCTTGTTAATTTTGAGTTATTTAATATCAAATTCTTAAAGAGTAGAACTTAAGTCACCACTATGCCAACTTCTGGAGAACCACTGAACAGGGAGTAGACACATCAAGGGACATTTGATTTATAATCGTGCCATTAGTAATAAAACACATTTTCCAGTGTGCATGGGTAAAATACTGCTACAGAAAATAGCTCAACCCATATTTCATACAGTGCTGCTCATGGGATAGATCTATTTTTAAATGTCTCTGTGAAACTAATCTCTACACTAACAAGGAAGTTATGGGACATTGCTTAAATGTCAGTAATAATAGAGTAAGGAAAATGGTAATAATTATTTAACCAAAAGTTAAAAAAGTCAACAAGTTTGTAAGTTCACCAGTGGTATGAGTTTCCCTAAAATGAATGTTTAACTGCATGTTCTATCCTCCCAGATTTTAAATGTTGTGTACCTTTGGAAAAAAAATTTACACTAGTTTATTTCTGTACTTTTGGGCAGTGAATTTTCAGCAACATTTCTTCATGGAATATCCATTAAAATTAAAATAAATAGTGTGCCTATTGCTTTTCTTTTTCTCTCTTTTTTTTTTTTTTTGAGGGGGGGGATGGGACAGGGGAGGTTGTATTTTTTCATCATAACACACTGGAAATTATTAGCTTTTTCGAAATCCTCTTGTATGAAATCAACACTGCTAGTCTCTGTCACAGTTTATTGGATATTTTATGGTCTATAACCAGAGAGAGGGAGAAGGTCCATTTTTCTCTTACTACAATGACACCTCGATACTTAATTATTTTGTCAATATCAAACACTAAAACTGTCATATAGTCTCAGGTTCAATGAAGAACATGTGTTGAAGTATCTGCTCGTTTGGTGACTAAATAAGTTCATAAAAGTCAAAAAGAAGACAGATCTGTACCACAATATTCAACCATCAAAACGAATGCCAAACACTGTCTTTTTATGCAATAACTATAAAGCCATGTTCTCTGAAATCTCATTCATTCCTGGATGAAGAACAATTCAGAAGGAAAAAAAAAACCTAAACAAACAACTGACTGGTAAAGTAAGAGAAGTTTTAAATTATTTCACTTCAATGTTTATTCAAATTTCTCTCATTTCTGCTGTTTCATATACTATCCATAAATAAGATCCTCATCCTTCTCACTCGACTGCAGTCTCTAGATCTCAGTGACTGAGGTGGTTTTACACAAAAGAGGTGTGAAAGTACAAACAAATTGTACTACTATGTGCAGAAGTTTGGCACATTTTCTGTCTATAACTGAAGAAAATGCATGATCTCTAATTTCTAGGAATTGAGGCATCTCAATTCAATTTAATTAATTTGTTCATCTTGATTTCTTTAAATTGGACACACCATAAGATATCATCTTGCCTGATGATATTAAATATCCCTGTAACATTGTATGTAATCCCCTCTTAGCGTTTTTCTCTTTCATATTTCTACATCTACTATTCATCACAATAACAGGATACAGTCACTCATGCTGTGCAGAGGTATTGATATTCCACATTTGATTGATACAATACTAAAGTAGCCATGAAATTTAGAGCAATTGCTCCCTTAGATATTTCTCCTTTGCCTCTGTAGATCATGAGGAAAAATTAGATTGATTTTCCAGACAACCTGCTGTACCAAAAGTTTTATTAACAGAAAAACATTTCTCCTTCAGGCTCAATACCTGCTATTCAACACAGACAAGAAATGTCAAGCAAAGGCTGCATGATTATAATTAGGAACATTTACAAGTTTGTTTGACTGCATGTGCGTATTCACATGTGTGGATTAAAATAGCTCAACCTATACTCTGGGAAACAAGGCAAAACTAAACAAATACTTGATAACTACTTTAATAGATAACTTTTAAGTTCCTAAAGTGATCTCAGTTTATCTAAACATATTAAACATGTGAAATTAAATAAAATATTGCAATTTTTTATAAAATTAAGGTGAGAAACTGTTGAAATTTTTCACTTTTGTGGTAAAGTAGATGACATTTTTGAAACAGTTACTGGGAAATGTTCTGACTTCTAAAAAAGCTTCGACCTATAAAAACTTAGAGAAATTTATTTACTTGAAAGGGATTGTAACTTACAAAATTAATAGTTCATGTAACTTACAAAATTAATAGATCATGCATATATATGAACAGAAATATTGGATGAATATGATATACGACTGAGAGTTTTGAATCGTGTCTCAGTGTAGCTGCACATGGGGACTTGGCACATATGGCACTTCATGAAATTATGAAATTCCAGAAATTTCATTTCTGAAAATAAATGCTTAGCACAGACACGTGATGAACAGATATAAATGCTAATCACAAACATACAGTGCATAGCATGCTCCTTTATAAAATAAAAAAAATCTAGTTAGTTTTAATCTTATCAAGTTTTTTTGAGTCCCTATAAAACTGTTTATTGTTATCAACTAATGTGGAAGGGGTGGTGAAAACAGATTTTATCTATGATTTGCATTCCATTTAAAAGATAATTGTTGTATTCCTGGTTTCTAACTTACCTCAACAGCTCATTCTTCAAAATCAAACGATAACACAAATTAGTTAACTTAGTGGCTGCTGGTTCACTAACAAAGACTCAATAAGTCATTATGGTTTATGACTTGAATCATGGACAATTTTAAAAAAATCTATATTGAAATGATAAATGAAACAGGACAATTTCTTCAGTCAAAAATCCATAATCTTGTAATTTAGTATGTTCTTAAATCACACAGACATCCTAATCAAGCAAGATGAATTGCCATATTTTATATCAGTCCAACATATTGCTAAAAATGACTTAAATAGCCTTGACTATCAAGGTGACTTTTTCAGAGTTTTTACACATTATATTTTAGGAAGAATAGTAAGACAAAAGTAAAAGAACATTTCCCCAAAATGAAATGTAATATCTATGTGACATCATAAAAGTGAGGCAATTCAAAGATCAGAACAGATGCATTGACAGCTTTTTATCTTACAATTCTAATACTCATACTCACTTTATGTGAAATTGTGCTGTAGGGTGACAGGATGAACATGGGATCCAAAGACTAATAAATATGTCAGACAACACAGAGGGAAAGTAATGAGGGATGAGAAATTCAGATAATGCTCTCTACTCTGGTTTTAATATAATTTTCTCTGTACTTTTAAAAATAATTTTTTGTATAGTCTAAAAATTCATTATAGTCAATTGTTAGCAGAAAAACAATAAAAAACTACACTGGAAAAGTGGGGAAAAATAGAAGAAAAAGGGTGGTCACAATGCAATCATTGGCAAAGTCTATTCTGCTTAGGAACCAGTTTAGGAAAAGGCTTAGGAATTTTATGCTGAGTAAAAAAAAAAAATTCAAAGTCAACAGAAGAACTAATCACATAAAATTTCGAATGGATGCTAGAAAAATTTTGCCCTATTTTAAATGAAGGCAAAATGTCTCCTACCCTCTTTTTCAGGTTTTTGAAAAGCCTGCTAATTTTTCCACATTTTTTTACTTCCCGTGAAATATTTTTTTTTTCTTCCTCATCAAAAAAAAGTTCACTAAACTCTAGCTATCACTGACAGCTCTAAAGATCACTCAACTATAAATAGGTTATTCCATCTAAGCTTACACATGCATTGTATCTCACAACTTAATTTTCTTCTGTGGAAGAACTCACATTGTCATCTTGCTACCAGACCAAGGCTGAGTATAGGTTTTCCATTTGGCTTTGTCTTGTTCTATTTTTGAAATGACCACACAAAAATTGAGGAAATATTATCAGGTCTTAAAGTAAATTATGTCAGAGAAAACAGAAAATAGTTCTTAATTATGAAAGATGATTTTTTGCTTACCATCCAGATAAATGAAAACTGGTATCAAAGACTGAAAACAGAGCACATTTGCTTTCTTATCAAACAACATCAGAATCAGAGCAAAGACAGATGTTTACAATAGCAAAACTTGCCTGGACCTCCATAGAGATCTGTCCAAAATTAACAGTGCTGTTTGAAAAACCTGCACAACAATTTGTTACAGCCAACAGCATCCCATGAGAAAACTTTGCACATTCCCAATGAGATGTACTGGATCTTGCTAGAACTCAGGACTATATTAACTGCTGCATGCCACCACTCCCTCCACAGTTTGAAAAATGATGGCTACATGTGGATACAGGACAGTTTTCCAAACAGGTAAAGAACTGTGTGTTGCTTTTCCAGGTTTCTTATTCTTGTTACAATCTACTAATCCACAGAAACATTTTGGCTCACTCACTGGGTTT